TTAACACTTTAAAATCTTTAACAATATATTAAAACTAAAAGATTTTTAAATTAAATAATTGAGTTATATAATTAATGAATAGATATTAAAAATTTTAGTTTGTGAAGAAAAATGATAAAATAAAAAAATGAAATTATATTTAATATTTTATGCTATTTTATTAAAGCCCTTTTAGTTTTCATACTTTAATTTATTTATGATTTAGATTCTTTTAATTTTAATTTCTCATATCTACTTCATTTAATTTTTTAATTATTTAAATTAAATTTTTTACTTCTAAAATTTTATCCAATAATTAAAAAATATAATTAAATATTCAAATTATCAATAAATGCATATACAATAATTAAATAAAAATATATTTTTATATTTTATAAATTTTATTTTATATTTTATTTAAATAGTATATATATATGACCAATTGAAGGACAAGTTTTAAAGGAATAATTATCATTGCAAGCCATAATAATGACGTGATAAGAAAAGAGTGTAAATTAAAGAAGAGAAAATTATTTTAAATATATAAATATGAATAATGTCCATTTCGAAGTTAATGGGCAACGGTCCTCACTCTGACTATGCGGGGCCATTCTGCATGGGTGGGTTACTGCATGACCATTGTCAAATTCAACCAAAATATCTTATGCCACAGAGGAACATAGGTAATAATAATAACGTTGTTTTTCTCATCAAAGATGTTTCTTTATTGTAAAACTCGTTCATCATTCACGAATTAAGAAAATTAGAACAGAAAGTTACACTTAAATTACCATGAAATTTCCATCAAAATTGCAGAAAGAAGAAGCTAGATTCCATTTTGCTCTGTCATTTCCAGAGATGTATCTGAGTACAATGAGAAGGACGGGACCAAATTGAAATGAGAAGATTTTGTATGAAGAGCCAGTGACCAAATTGAGGCCTCCTTGGATGAAACATGGCTCGTGTATAGGGGACACTCATTATTCTCCATTAACACAACAAAACATTCACAACGTTTTCTTGGTCCCCCTACTGTCCTATTACTTACAATCAAGTTGCAAGATAATACAACATATATTTCGGGGACCATCTCTGTTACAATGCCTTCAACATGCTTTTCTGTGGGAGGACTTTTCCACATCAATGAACTATGTATTCACATGTACAGTTAGTGGTAGTGTTGTTCTGAAAATAATTCATTTATAAAGGTATTCATGAATTATGAGCAAGTCACACAAGTGAATAAAAACCACATTTGATAAAAATAAAAAAGAGTTTCAAATATTATATTATGTGTCCTTTTTATGTATGTGTTATTCAATTTTTCCACTTACTCAACGTAAATGTTTATATTCACACTTAATACTCCAACAAATGCAATACTCAATTACATAAAATTGTTATCGAATGATTTTATATATGCTCCACAGTTTACCATTCAACAGGTTTATTTCTGATTGTTTCCTTCTCATGATTTTTACTTATTTTTAAAATTGTCATTTATTTAATTTCTTTATTTTTAATTATTTCATTTAAATTAGTTATCAATTGGATCCAGCAGCACATTATTTCATTTTCATATCACATTTTCATTAAATTAGAGTTATATTGCTTAACTGCTTGTTTTACGTTTGCATGATTCATTTTGATCTTACACTCCCTAGCATGGCAGCAAAATATTGGTTGTTGGACTGCTTTTTCTTTTTCTTGATTTCCCTGTTTATCTTACAAAAAATTCAGAGTCTCTTATTTTATCTCTTTGTTGATTTTAGTTTACCCGAGTATAATTTTTAGAAAAGTCTCATATATATATATATATATATATATATATATATATATATATGTATGTATGTATGTATGTATCGGGCTCATATTTCTTGCCTTTATAAATTTCCTACAACTACATTACTACACTGTTTACACAAAAGCCAAGACTAACACCCTTCTTTCCTAAAAGACAAAAAAGGAAAGTCATTGTTTCACAGTTCATAAAGGATATGAAATAAGTATGGGAAAGAGAGACAAAAAAAAGAAGATAAAATGAGTGAGTATGTGAAAAAAAAAAGAACATTAAAAAATTAAAATTGAAAAAAAGGAGAGGCATAGTAGCTTGGTCCGAAGGTAATATATATTACAATTGTTTGTGAAGTTTGTTAAACAAGTACTATTGGGCTTGAAACAATTAGTGGACTACTTTGCTCTTACAACTTCATAGAATTATGCAAATTTATTTTTTCTTTTGCAAACAATTGGGTACATTAGATTGACTATCAAAGGGCAATTCACAAGGCTACAGCTTCTGACCAGTGCCACCGTACCTTGTGTCAAATGAAATATGCTAATTAACTAGCTAGGGTACAAAATTAATTTCAGGGTTTTCATTTTAATTATTTTCACATTGAATTCACCAACAAGAATTCACCTACTATATTCACGTCGTTTAATTTCATATCCTAATAACTTCAAGGGCTTTCATGTCTTCAATGCAACAATGTAGTACGTACGTAACACTGAAATTTTCTTCACCAAGTTTTTTTCAACATACACTATGATCCAGCTCATGCGCAAATGCTTTTGGAAAGCTGTCCTTTGCTAACTTTTTGTGCTTAGGATGTCCACAATAAGATTTGTAATCATATTTGTTGACTAATCTCTATGCATAGCAACAAAAACCATACAATTGAAATGGATCTTACTTTATTTTCTGTTAAAAGAGTGTGATGTACATCTTTTACTTTCTTATTTTTTCCACGAGACTTATTAGCTTTTTGACCATCAATCTTTTTTTAATTTACCCTTTTGTTTGTCATGCAATATACTTCTTGTTGTATTTCACTTTAGATATGCTCACTTTTCCTTTGTCAAAACAAAGGCTTTTTATATTCCACACAATTCACTTTATTAGCCAAAAAAAAAAAGAAGAAAGAAATGTGTCTGACACCTACTTGAAAAAATCCATCGAACACAGTCGTATTTCGGGAAAATTTGACTTGGAAGAAACATAATTACAAAATTGGAAATAACACAGAAACACTACACTCTGCAATGCATATTCGAAGTACCATGTGTTATTCATATGTGCTACATTAATATACGTACACCTGTGACTGCATTTTTTTCCCCTTATTTTGAGAAAAAAGGAAAGTGACAACCAATCTATTTATGTATGTTTCTGTTATAGCAATATAAAACCAATTTCTTCATGTAGGTGCCGAAGCCAATCTCAAAGTTATTATGTGACTTGCTAGATATAAATGAAGAGTGATATACTATTCATATAATATATTTTTACACACTTTATACTAATATTTTTATCTTTTTCCATCATGTCACTTACAAAAATAAAAAGGAAGAAAAATTTAATGTAAAACCCACCAAAAATCCTTTTCTCCTACGAACAGATTTATCGGTTTCTCTTTCTTTTGTTTGGGATTGATAGCTCATTTATTTTTCTTCAAAAATGTTTTATAATGTAAGAATTACATATACTCTCATTCAGTGAGTTGTACTTTCTCACTTTTAATTCTAACTTACAAAAACACTTTCTAATTGGTTGATTCTTAATTCATCGGAATTCATAATTTTTCATGTGAAGTAGCAATTCATTTTCGTTATGTTTTGTTTTTGCTCTCCAATTTTTCTTCATTCACTTCTCTTATTACAATATTTTTTTACTGATCTAAATAAAATCGATAAAAATTCTTTGTTTTTATTTCTTATTTTTATTAATTAATCTAAATACATCATTTTATAAAAAAAAAAATTTCTTATTTCTTTTTATTACATCCAAACAAAAGATTAGGAGATTTGGCCCTTACACAGGCAATACTCTGAAAACCACCGAGCCTACAGGGAGAAAGAGATTAAAGATTGGTTAATTAGGATTACAGTATTTCTAAATGGAAAAATTAGGGTTGAAAAAAAGGCAGCTGGATTCCTCAAGCCGATTACTCATTCACCACCCATTATTGATCAATCGCAATAACCTGTCCTTTTCATCCATTGTTGAATAACTCAAACAATGTTACAAATTATTTGGACTATATACTAACACGTTAGTATATTCCATGCATAAAAGCAACTATTCTCGACATCGTTGCGCAACCATTTCCAGCTTTGCCGGCACTAATTCCTCGTTGTCGTCCTATGTTACGGTCCAGAATCAGAACATTGCAATCGAGCACAAACACTACAACACGAGGGTCACACACGTGTGGGAAACCAAGCACACTCGATAGCATCGTGAACTGTATAGTTCATAAACATCTAAATAATATTAATATCTAGCTACCGTATCACTTGTGATATTTATATTTTTTTTCTCTTATATTTCTTTTCAGGTGTAAACACTTTCATGATTATTTTCTTAACATTTTTCAAGTTTGGGTTAAGGGTCTAAATCATCCGCACCAAGACATTGAACCGCTTTTGCGTCCCAAAATGTCCCTTTGGAATTTGGATTCGTCATAGAACGAGTAGTAAAGTTACAAAAAATTTTAACCCCATAACCTATTTTTTTCTTTAAGAAAAATTATGGAGGGTGTCCTTGACTAATTATGACAAATAAGGAGGCCACAAACTTTAGTGCAAGAATATCTACGACAACCCCTTTTCTTTTTGAATGACGAGGAGTGAAGCATTGTTGTCTTTGAGGAAAGTTCAAGATAAGAAAGTTTAATGTAATGATGTGGTTACGCAGATTGAGGAACACAGAGACAACAAAACGAGGGAATGTGATCATAAGGGGAGGTCTCTTTTGCATTATTGGCAAACATCGAGTTGGTTTTGTACTTAGCTGGACCTTAGAAAAGGCGCAGCTCCAAAAAATGCAAATTCAATAATGTAAGGGCCACTTCCCATATTGTCAAACATCATTTCACTGATTTAATCATTAGTCCTCTTCTTAATTAACCACTTTTCCCTCCCATTTGCACATCTCTATCTCAATATAGAGCCAAAAGGCTATAGTTGAGAAAGGTATTGTTCCACTAGGATACACAAAGATGACACATAACTGGCCCCCACATGCCCTTAATTAATACCCAAAATTCCTGCACTGATGTCTTTTTAAAATTACATATATTCTGAACCTTTAAAACCCCATCTTTTCATTTTTCTCCCTCACCAACTATTTCTCTTCTGCCCCTCCACATGCAAATGTTAAACACATGACAAAATATTAGAGGCTACATTACACAGATATTCAAACCCTATGCATCACTCCAAGCCGCAAAAACTGGCAAGTGAGACATTGAGATAGTAGTAGCTGGCCTCAGTTGAGAGGGAAACCAAGAGTTAACAGTACTAACCCCATTTGCAATGGAGCTACTACTGTTAACAATCTTTGATCCCATTGGAGGCTTTGGAAGTAGCAATGTGGGACCCGTTTTATCAGGGCTACCTTCCCTTGAGCTGCTTAAACTAGTCACCAGAGAGGAAGGGTTTGAAAAATGAGTCCCTCTCTTAGTAGACTCATCTAGCATGCCTTGGCTAGATCCTACTGAGTCAATCCCAATGAGATCTTGTAGGGCCACAGAGAAAGCAGAACCTCTATAATTTCCACACTTCATGGATTTTTGGTCACAGCTCTTTGACTCTTGTTGTGGAGACTGATACAAACCCATCTTCCAATCAGATGACCCGTTTTCATTGTTGTTCACATTTTCAACTTCTTCCCTGCTTATAATTTGTTGGCTTGAAACAACATTGTACTCTATGGCCTCGGTTCTTGGTTCACTTTCCTTGTTTCTTCTTGCCAATTCTCCAGCTAGCAAGGTATTGCTGGCCATGATTCTTTCAACATCGTATCTAGATATGTCGAAGTTGGTCACTGCATTTACCCCACGAAACTTGATTGCTGCTACATCATATGCTTCAGCTGCTTCCTCTTGAGTGCCTGAGATAAATTCAAGTACCAAAAAAATTTATATCAGTTCTTTTTAATAAAAATAAAAGGGTATTTCGAAAATTTTGAATTTTAAGTCACGAGGCTGTTGTTGTCGAGATATTTTAGATATCCTTTTTCTATCTTTCCAGAGAACAGCCTTAAAAAAAGTGACTTGTTGCAGTCCAAAGTGGCTATATGGTCAGCCTTATAAAAAGCATTGCCATCAAAGGCATATAACAATATTAACAACCAAATCCTAAGAAAAAACTTAAAGCATGCTAACGCCTCATCCACATTAGCATATTTGTTCATAATTCGAATGTTAAAGCTCCCCCGATATATTGCTTTAAAAGGATTTGATAATGAAGTACGAGGAATCTGAAATGACTTACTGAATGTCCCTAGATAAAGGTCTTTATTTCCTGCAACTCTGCCTATCCTTGCTTGCCATCTGCCATGTTGGTGGTGCCTGCATTACATTTAAAAGTTCATTCAACACTAATTAACACAAATGTTTCTATTCTATAACTAACAAGAAAAAGAGGCACGAGACTGCATGAACCTTGTCACCCCTCTATACATTGAGGCACCCCTTGAAAACCCACTACTCTTTCTGCAAAGTAATCACCAACTTCATCAATTCATCATCATTAAGCATGAATAAATAAATGATAGCCTTTAGCAACATAATAATAATAATAATAACAATTATTTTAGTGTGCTTTAAAGTACATCATAAAATATTATTAAATAATAATTTTTATTTAAGATTATACTATTTAATACTATCAATATCAACATTATTCAATAAAACATATATTAAAAATCATAACAATACCTATTATTCAATAAAACATATATTAAAAATCATAACAATACCTTCTTAAGTGTGCCACGTATTCCTGCCTGCTCATGTTCTTCATTTCTTCAAGTTCAGCTTGGTAGTTCTCAAGCTGCCAAAAAGAAGAGAGAATGGGACTCCAAGGAGTACAAGATTGCGAGCAAGAAATGCCACTGAATTGAAACATACCGGGAAGTTTATGTGCGTTGAGGGTCCCCAATACTTCAGAGCCGCAAGATCATAGGCTCTTGCAGCTTTCTCTTCCATATCATAACCACCTTGAGTTCACAAACCAAAAAAGACCACTCATCAAATTAGCAAAATTGCAAGAAAAAGGTTGAAAATACAAAACTTTTGGAAAAGACTATAGGACATACCCAAATAAACTGCCACATGCAACGTTTTGTTGATTGATCATCCACAATGTGAACAAATGACAGGTGAGAGAGAGAGAGAGAGTTAGTGGACACAGCTCAGAAACAAGAATCAAGAAAACCTCTAAACAAATAATGTTAAATCATCCATCATGACTCAAACTTTTGGTAACTAACCTTGTCTTCCTTTCCTGGTTTGCCCTTCCTTCTTGCAACTGTTATCCCACAAATGCGCCTCATATCTACCAGTCCATCTATGCCTGGTACACAAGAACCAAGAGTCACTACAAAATTGACTTGATAAAACAATCAAACAACACATTAAAACTCAAAAAGTAGAACACTTAATAAACTCCAAAAATGTTAAAAAGTGGAATTCAAAAAAGAGAGGATCAAGTAATGAAAATCACTAAGGTAAAGATTACTCAAATAAAGGAAAAGAAGTGAACTATGTAACTAACCTTGTCACACCTCTATACTGAGAAGTTCTTTGCCCAAATGTGTCAATGGATTTCCTATGCACAGGTTGCTTCTGACCAAGCTTAGCAGGTCCTCTCTTTTTGGCATCCACAGTCACAGAGTCAGTTCCAGATGGTGAGATCTGAGTTGGAACAGTGACACAACTTGACTGAGAACCAGGGCTCATAGATAAGCTTAAAGGCTGCAAGTCCCCACAACCTACTGTGCCAACACCAACTGACCCAGAAGCACCATGATCATTATCCCCCAGAGTACTACTATTCACTTGATGCTGCTCAAGAGAAGAAGAATACTCTCTTGGGGGCACCCAGTTTTTGAAGCAAGCAATGCCTTCTTCCACCACTTGAGGCATTTGGGAGCTGCAAACCGTGACATGGGATTGCTTGGTTTCTTCCTCTAATGGTGCCTGATATATGCCATGGCACGCAAGTCCTGAGTAATATGGATGGGATTGTTGATGCCTGAAGGGATCAGAAAGAAGGTCCAAGGATGAAGAATGGTCTCTGTTGGCTTGAGGTTCTATATTTTGACTGTTGTAGTAGATGCTATCGAGACTTAGAGCCATTGCCTCTCTTTCATGGCCTCCATAATCTTGAGCTCCCATAGTTGCACCACCAAGAAAGTCCTCAAGTTTTGGAGAAGAAGTTGGCACCATAACTTCAATAGAGAACAAGCAAGACTTTTAAACAGCCATATAATTGCAAATCACATACTACAAAATAAGAACAAGTAAAAGTAGATAACTTTTGAATGCATATATGTATATAAGAGATTAACTTAAGACCAAGACAAAGACCAACCTTGGGTTTGTGACCTGCTAAGAGCTTCCATTATGCAAAGTGACCCATCAGACTTAAGTGGCATCATGGCCAAAGGAGAGTGAAAAGCACTGTTCTCCCCAACACCAAAGCACATTCCAGAGGTGTTTAGGTGCGAAGGTGACACATAGAAGTTAGTGGGAACAATGTTAGAAGGTGCAGCAGAAGGCTGAGAGTGATGATAATAGTGATGATGGGGAGGGCCAGAAGAAACAACAACATCCATTTTCATGTGGGGTGAGAGAGAGAACCCCAACCAGTTATGATTGTTCCCATCATCATCGGTGTTGCTATCATTCATGGACTTCATCTTCCTACTTTTTTTCCCCTTATCACCTTAATTATTTGAAAAAGGTTTTAACTTGCTACTTCAGGCTTCAGCTAGGCAACTCAATCATTAGATGGCAAATAAGCAAATCATATCAAAGAAAATCTCTTCGTATGTGAATGAATATATACTTGGTCTTTTGTTGTTTAGCTACAAAAAAATTTTCACTTCGCATAAGCTTCTCAAACAAACTCTCTCTTCACTCGAGCCAACAAAAATGGTCTCTTTAAACTAAGCAGAAAGAATAAGTTATAAGCAAGTGATGCTGGGAGCACCCACTTCATTCCATAGGGATCTGTGAGTGTGTATGTTATATATGAGAATGAGAATGAGAAAGATCACGTCTTTTGCCTTCTCTCTTATTATTTTCTTTTTTTTTTTAAAGAAAAAGAGAATTAAATCGGTGCCCCCACTTAAACCCTATATTAAACCCAGGACCAAATATCAAAGTGGATAAGAAGAAAGAGCCGAAAATGGTAATGGTGAGAGAAACTTTTTATGGACAGTTCCTCAGAACTTGAATGCTAGTAGGTGAATCTAGTGGGCAAACGGTGATCAATATTTAGAGGGAATTGGACTTGGAGAAGATTCAGATTTCAGTAAGCAAAATAAAAATAGTTATAATTCATATACTTAAATTATGATTAATGTACATTCAAATATAAACATATGTTTCTATATTATATTACTTCTTCTTTTCGACTAAAAACATATTATTAATGCCTGCAAAATATATTCTTAATAAAAATATTTTGTTTATTTATTTATTTAAAATTTTACAGTGACAACGTTGCAATGCAGTGCGCAGTGCAGGGGGCCATAGATTTGACGGGCAGGACATATCTGCCCATCCAGTCACTTCATACAGTACACCCATTCTGTGCCACCTGCATACTGCAAAGTTTTAAAGCATCTCTTTTTTCTAAAACAAAGTTAGAATATGATATTTGCCTACATACTTGAATAAAACATTATTTTGTTCTTAAAACAAACCTAAAAATCAAAAATTAAAATTTTACTCTTTAACTTTTTAATTTTAAGTTTTTTTTTTCATTCTTCTAACCTTTTTTTAATGGGAAAAATCACAATACTAAAATATAATATTTTTATAAATAAAAAATCACCCATAGCAATTTTTAATATTTCCAAAAAACTTTTTATAATTATTTTGAAAATATTAAAGATTTTTGTATTTTTTAATTTTTTAATAATTTTAAAAAAATGATCAACGTCATTTTTTAGTATTTTAATTATTTCATAAATTTTAGTTATTTTACTTTTATATTTCTGTATCTATATAATAGCAATTTTTGAGTTTTCATATTTTTATATTTTTCTAAAAATTCATATTTTAGTATATATTAATTTTAAATATTATATATAAATATAAAAACTTCTAATACAAATAGAAGATTATAATTTATTTAAGCAAGAAAAGAAGTGAGAAATAAAAACAAATAAATAAAATGAAGTACAAAATATTTAAATAAATAAAAAAACTGATTTTATTTCTTTAGATAAATAATTTTTTAAGAAAAAAATAAAATTTTATGTCAAATAAAAAAATTTAAATTTCTTAATGTATTTTTTAAAGTAAAAATTTATTTATCATTTATTAATATTATAAAAATTTATTTATTTGGATAAAAATGAAGAAGAAATCTCATCCCCTTATTTTCCCTCTATGAGGATAGAATTAATATTATTTGAATCTTAAAATTCCTTCTTTTTTTAAATAAATAATAAAAGTTGTATAATTTTTTTTATTTTTTTTATTTTTTCTCTTAATTTATCCTCTTTAACTTTTCATACACTCGCATATAATGTAAAATATTCAGTATTAATCATTTTAATCCTAAAAAACATTTTTAAAAATAACAAATATATTTATTTTTAATTAATTTAAGTTTATTGGCTGCCATTAGTTTAAATTTATAAGATGATTAAGTTGATACATTTTTATAATTTAAAAATTAATATAATTAATTATAAATCTTTTAAAACAAATTTCATCTTATACATATTTTTCTTTATTCACAATTAATTATAAATTTAATGTCTGATTAATTTATCTTATTTTAATTAAATATTCATTTATTTTTAACCATATAAGAAACTGTTTTAAAGATATTATTTGTTTTCAAAAATTAGCTACCACTTTTATTTTTAAATTCATATTATCTGTATATAACCTTTTTTGCCAAATATATAAACACGTGTATTAATGATGGAATATGCATCATATGGCCACAAATTAATTTTGATTGAGTAATTAATAAAACTGTTGCATGAAGACACGTGCGTTGAGAAGGGTGTGTGTACTTTCTTGTGCAAACTACCAAGCTTTTTGTTATATATTTCAAAATAATTGTAATTATCATTTTGCAACCTTTTCGTACAGCACACAGAAAATGGAATTTTTTTAGCTGGATTTAAAACTTGTTTTCTAATAACACGTTTTACAATCAATTTATCATAACCATCATTAATTTTAAGTTGAGTAACATTAATGTTAATCAAACTCATTCTGAGATATATTAAATATAATTAAAACATATTTACAATAATTTTAATGCTAATTCATCCTTCTCAGTTCTGATTTCTGTTTTGTGTAAATTCCAACAAAGAAAATATGACTAAATACAAATTTACATTCCCAGTATAAAGAAAATACCTCTTGTAATCCAATATTATAAAAAAATATACATAATGGTACAGAGAGAGAAACATGTTTCAGAAAGATTAAAATTTACTGCAACTTATTGAATTGATAGAAATATATGTGAACCAAAATTTAAAATAAATTCGTGGTTTATAAAACATTTTTGGTACCTTTTCTTAATTATATAAGATAACTCATTTAAGTTGCAACACCATAACTTTAAAAATAATACAAATTATAGCATGATAAGTTGTATAGCTTAAATTTTTAAATTTTTTTGCATATTTAGTGTTTTTATATGTAACAACAATGATTATTATTATTATTATTATTAAATAAAAAAATTATAAAAATTATTTTTGAATAAAAAATAAAAAATTATTTTGGACAACAGAGAACTAACACATTTGAATATACTAATTATGCAATTGGTTTAAATCTTTTTAAAGAGTAATTGGTTTTAATCATTTATTGAGGGAACTCATTGAAAAAAAAAAGTACATTTATTAACAGCTTATTATTAGGCTTATCTTCATTTGTATAAATTTTGATTGATAAAAAATTAAATTGTTTATATTAATTTTACAAATTGATACCAATAAAATAATTGTAAGAAATTTATTTTGCAGGCTAATATTCTATATTTAGTATAATATATTTTATTATTAGTATATATTTATATTTTTTATATCAAATATTTATAATAACAAAATGACAAATCATTTACAAATGAAATATATTTCTGGAGACTTTTAAAAAAATACTACTTTCTTAAGAAAAGCAAACAAAAACATGCACTAAAAATGTATTCATTGTAAAAAAATATAAAAAAATGTATCTATTTTTAAAGTTAAAAAATGTTTCACCATGGAAGAAACAAATGAAATATGCAGGCATTAAATTTTAAGACTGTGTTTAAGAGTTGAATTTAGAAGGGAAGAGGAAGGAAGGAATTAGGAAGAGTTAACATTGTTTACGAATTATTTAATTAAGATGGAAAGGTTTTGGAGAACCCTCCAAAGTTCTGCCTAATTTTTTGAATTCTCTAATTTGGAAGTTTTTTTTCTCTCTCACTCTCTTATACTATTTTATATTAATTTTTTAAGTGAGATTTTTTTAAAAAAATTATAAAAATAAAAATATTAATTTTTTGAGAAAGAAAAATACTTATTTTTTATTTTTATAAAAATAAAAAATAAAAAATATAATAATATCATTTATATAATTAAACACTTCATTATCTTCCTTTCTCGATATTAACTTCATCCTCTTATAAACTTACAAACAAAGTCTTAAGAATTTAAATAAGTAACTTAATACAAAATTACATTAAAATAGTCTAAGTGTATAATAATAATAAATAAATAAATATACTATAGTAGTTGCTGTTAGTCTATTATTTGAATATTAATGTTATTTTTACATTGATTTTAAATATTTTTTTAACTTTTATCATGTTTCTTAAGTAGAATTTATGGTAAAAATAGTATTATATCTATTTGTATTATTGCTGAGGTTACTAGTTTAATTGTCATCCACAAGATTTACGCAAGTATTTTTCAAAATGAATAAGTTGTATATCAAAGTGCTGTTAGCTAACCCATGAAGATTACATAGCCAACGGGTTCAAGTCACCTAATCTTCATTAAAAAAATAAAACTAATATTTTAATCATCAAAAAAGCAATCACAATATATGATGTAATGTATGGTACATAAGATCAATTACTAGATAGACAAAATTGCATTAGTTCAGCTTTGTACAATAGTTTGAGGAACTAGCCACTCTCTTAGAGAGCCCAACTCAGCAATTCCTGTGGTAAAATGATATATTAACATGTATACAAGAAAATGATAAAAATAACTGCTAAGACCCTTTACTTTTTCGAGTGTCTCTTTGTGTATAGTCAACAACTGCCTCCAGACAAAAAGAGGAAAGTGGGTCTTTGATAAGCTTGAAATATTCCAGAAATGATGATCAAAAGGGTCCCAAAAACAGACTTTATGACGATAATGCATTTTTACTCTAAATATTTCTCTTATCTCAATTAAACAATTCCTCTTCATATAAATCGCATATGTGGAATCTAGATGTCCTTCTTTCCACATTTTTTTAAGGATAATGTTTATGGAAACGGTTCAAAAGAAATCTACTAAATTTATATCAAAGTAATCGAAAAAGTTTAATTTTTTAAATATA